ATAAACTAAAGAATGCCAAATGGCAACATTCTGGATACTACTTATTAATCACTTTGAGTGAAAAATCTAACAGTTCGCGCAATGGTCAAATTCGCCAAATTGAGTAGATTAATGCATGAAAGAGAAACATAATGTCTCTTTTTGGAAAGACTGTGTTAAAGACATTTCTAACGTCAATATATGTGCAAGACAAGGCGGAAGAAACTAGTACCTCGAGATATGCACAAATATGACAGAAATGGAAAAAATATCTTCTTTTTCTTCAGCTAACGCCCGTCTTTTCAGGACAGCCATTTGATGCCGCGCCATTCAGTATAGCCATGTCCGTAATGGAAAAAAAATAACTCGAAAGAATTTAATAATTCGTGAAAAAAAAGATACAAAGCTATACAGGAGAAACACATTTACCCGAAATAAATGGGCACAATATTCTGGAAAACATATATTTTCGAATAAATTTGTATCGGGGTCATCTTCAGTACCGAGGAATTTAAATGGATCACTTTCGTATAAAACATTTTCGGCACGCAGTTTCAGAAAATTTAGTGCATAAAACTTGAAAAATGACATTTTTAAAATTTTTATTTTCACTTAAATAACTCTAAACAATATTTTCGGTTCTTTTCGTTTTATCTAGTAGACGAATATTCTAAAATTGAGGTTAAAAAAAACAGCTTGATGAAGGATGATAATTTTGTTAACTTATTTGTGTGAATATCTCAGTTATTATTTGCATTCTAAAAGCGGCAATAAATTTAAAAGAAATGATATAATAAAAACGCGCCATCTTAGAAACTGGACGTAAAATTTAAAAAAAAAATCTGATGTGTACCGCATGACTTCCTTGCACGGAATATTAAATTATAAGCAATTTTTGCTGCATTTCATTTAAACTTAATTCCTCGAATTTCATTAGAGATATATTTCTCATTCAATTAATTCAGTTCTCACTTCGAGATAAAGCAAAAATACATAAAGCCTCAAAATATCCTTATTCAAAATTGAAAAATATAGAAAAATATAAAAAGAACAAAATCTGAAAACTTTCAGATTTTATATTACGCTTAAAGGGGCTGTTTTTTAACGTTTAGTGTGTTTTAACCTTTAACTACTTATTAAATATCATCTTCTTTACAATTAAACCATAAAATTCAACTCAACAGCAATATCACACACAAAAAAAAATCACACTAAAGAATAAACGTGATTCTCGCATGTAAACCATGTCATCCAAGTTTTTCTTATTTTTATTCACAACACATCTCATATGTAAACATTTTATATTGATATATAATTCAAGTATAATTAATCAGGAAAATGAATAAAGAATAAACTAACCTAGTAGGCAAAACATATCCGTTATATTCCGAATTCTAAATATCTGTTTACATAAATATTATCAGAAGACTTGGCGGGGAAAAATATCAGACGATTGCAAACGCACGATCGCTAAAGATCACATGATTATTTTATTTTCAACAATTTCAGAAGTGAATCGACGCAAAATGCCAAAATGAAATTAATAGTTCTTCTGGGCTAATTGGCCCTTGGTCTAACGCAAAAACAAGCAATTCGATCAGCGGGAAAAAGAGGTAGAAAACATAAAACTAAAAGTGCGGTACACAAAGCTAAAAGTTTACTTTTGGTCTTACTCCACAAAAAGACACTAAAGGTGCATCACTATTCGAAGTTTCAAATGTTAACAAATATGGCTGCTATGGTAAAAAATTAGGCTTAGCGGCACTTAAACAACTTTCAATTGTTGATAATTATACAACTACTGCATGCAGATTAACTAAAGGCATAAAAACCTCAGCCGGAAGACCAGAACAACATAATATAATCATTGTTAAAGCAAAAAATACAAAATTTACCAGCACATAAGAATAAAAAGAACTGAGCTCATGGAACCGAGTAACAGATTCGGTATATATATTTATATACTTCTTTTTGTAACCAAAAAGGAAGGTGCAGAATTGCAAATTACAGCAGCTCTATATACAAAATTTCAACGTTTTGAGGCTCCTTGTTTTTGAGTTATAAGAGATACATTCATATATACGTACGTACGTACGTACTGACGTCAGGAAAAAAATCTCTTCTAAATGCATTTTAAATCCTTTTTGCAACCCGTTTAGGGACAAAAAAGTCCTTTATTCTGTCCTTACGTACAGATGTCAAGCAAAAATATTGTTCAATTGCATGTGATAGAGGTCAAATGGATATTTTCGGTGAAATATTACATCCGAAAATTTTCGCGATTACACTTCGTACAAGGAAGTAAAAGGTGTTAAAAAAATTCTTCTTTTGGTCGTTTTCTTTTATCACTCAAAATTTATACAAACTACATCTCCATATTTTATAAATATACTAATATTTTATTTTTTAAACTGTTATAAACATTTTTTAACTATTACATTCTTTGCTCAACCTTTTCCATTTTTATTTCCTTGTGCGACCAAAAATGCCCAAAATGTATATAATTTAATATTTCGTACAAGGAAGTCAGGTGGTGTCCACATCAGATTTTTTTAATTCATTTATTGGAATTAACCATAGTTAATTTACAGTAAGTTTAATTACTTTAGAGTTTGTTGTACTTTCTTAACTGTATTTAATTTATATCTTAGACTATTGTAACAGAGTCCCCAAAAGGTTGCCGTTTTGAGTTTCAGTTGATTATTAGAATTCAATATTTAATTTTTTGTTTTTTGGTTATTGGTTTGTTGCATTTAATTCCTATTTTTTTCTTTTAGTAGATATTACCGTAATCAAATTTTCTACAACTTGTTTTGTATATTTGTTTTTGATTGATACCACAGGGTTCTTAACTAGTTATTTTGCTTTATTTTGGGTCGAAATTGCATTACAGTCTTCCTTTTAAGCGATGTAAGATTTGAACTATATTAACGAATAATTAATTATTTCATTTGCAAAACAACGAGAATTAATTGTTATAATTTTTTCCTACTTCAAGTTATTCATTATATAGTTTAAAAACATGGCTATCTTGTTACATTGTCCAATGGTACCAATCCTCTGAAAAGATACTACAAAATAACATCTTGTTTATTTTCAAATTCCTTTCATTTATTCTATTCCTCTGTAATTTCATATATAGTATTATTCTAACTTTGAAGTTTTAATTTATTATCTTTTAACTATTTTCTTCATATTTTAAATTTTTTTGAATTTTAAATGTAAATCGCTTTCGGTGTCAGACAACCTGAATTTTTCACATTAAAAATTTATTTTTCCACTTAAATTTACGTACTCCTTATTAGCAGTAACACATATCCGGTCATCTCTCTTAATTGATAAGACTGGCTTATAGTCAGAAGCTTCATTAGCACTCTTATTACAATTAGGAGCAATAATTTAAGTTTGTGAGGAATCACAATATACTTCACTTGCTGGTGTATGCTTTCTGTTATGCCGTATATTCACTAACAGCTGGAAGATCCATAGTTCAGTTTTTGACAAAGGTGCAGTTGAATATTTATATTTTTTCTATAAATAGTCTAACACAGTAGTTCTCAACCTGTTTTGAATCTATTTTACCCCTGCTACAAAACCATTCCCCCACTCCTTGATAAAACTCGAAAAATACATATAACATTAGTTAGATTTAGATTAGTTTTAAAGTCTTTTTATAAACTAAACTACAAAAAGTATATAAAATGTTGGTAAATACAAAACCTTGAATAAAATTAATTTTTTCATTCACAAATTAAAACTAAATACTTAACAGTTAACTAAAAGGCTGTCTGCATTCTCCCCTGAAACAAAGGTAGGATTTCCTCTGATTCAAAATCCCTGGCCTGGTAGTCTATCCAAATAAAGTTCCACATTTTATTTTGTTTTTGTATAATGAAGGGTAAGGGTAATCATGAGAAAGATTTTAACATACAACTTGCCAAATTTGTCACCATATTTCGAATTGATTAAGACAAAGAATAGGGGGCTATTGTCCTAAGCTTTGGGATGACTTCATGAAAAACTATATGAAGCTGGCTCATATTCGTGTTATGCATTATGAAAACCTCTAAATCGAAAAAGCAAATCGGGAACTTGCTGGTCCACGTAGACAGCTTGTACCCTGGGATCCAAACCCATTTCAGTCTATCACAGTTCATTATGAACCTATCCACTCGACGAATGGTGACTTCCCAGTCTACTCCACTGCTTATTTTACATTTAATTACTCTTAAATTTAAGTAACGGAACTGAGTCTACTACACTGTTTATTATTTTACTTTTAATTGATTTTATTTCCACTACATTTGTTCTTTTACAGTTCTTGTTCAACTAAATTTTGATACTATCTTTTTTTAATAAAATGGTGTCAAAATTTTAAATAATATTCGAAATTATCTTGAATTTTCCAACTCATTATGGGAACACATTTCGGTTGTGTTTCTGAACAGTTGTTTTTACACGGTTATGATTTATTGGGGCACACCGGGCTAGGAACGCAGTGTAAGTCATAATGTTTCCGATATCGTAGCAAAGAACAAAAACTGTTACCAAAGCAGGAGTCTGTGCACCAGCATTTCTTTACGAAGCAAATTTTTTAACTTCAAGGCAGCAAACTTCATAAAAGTTTTGGCAACTTTATTACATAATATAAACTGTTCTTATTGAACAAAATAACAAACGACATCCCTACTTTCACGAGCCTGCTGGCATGTTTGCTTGGTTAGGAATTTTTCAAGTTAAGAATTCGTATTCATAAATGTTCTGGCATCTTTATGTTAAGGTTCATTTGTTAAGTTTTGTGAACTGAAGGGCACTGTCCGATCTGCGTAAAAATGCCGCTTTCCTTAAGATCATGTGTACGTTCCAAACGTACTTGGAAAGTTTGTAGAAAGAATTTTCATTTATTTTATAAAATGCATTTCTAATTACCTCCGTCTTAGTCAATGGGAATTTCCTACCTTGATAGCTTTCCGTGAGAACAGTGCTCATCAATTGTTAAAAGAGAAACTGCAGTTGCTCACCTGTTCCAGTTTGTTCCTGGAGGCGATGTCCCTAAAAAGCGATGCTGAAGCTCGCAGGATGAAGGAGGCGAACAGCTGCAGGTGCAGATTGTTCCGAGGGCAGCGAAGACGCCTGAAGAAATCACAAATATTAGTATCCAAAAGCACTATATCAAGTAGAAACCACTGTGAACTTTTGTCTATGTTGATGGATATCAAATATACATGTATTATCTAGTCTAACAGTTTAAAGGCTACTTCATTAAACCAGAAGGATTCCCTAACATTTAATAAAAACGAATTCTCTTACAAGGATTTTCGCAGAGTAGTTACAGGGTACAACCTTTTGTTCTGAGAATTTTGCCTCTAGCGTGATGTTGTAAGTAGCAATCAAAATGGAAATAAAAATTTACAGAAACTTTTTTCCGCCAGCGTAGGCGAAATCAAAAACCAAAAGACATCAGAGATGCAATAGGATTCACATAGTATCCAAATTGCCTGAGGCGGCATTCGGGTTTGGGCTCTATAAGGCGGTAGCTGCTTGGCATTCAAATGCTATCGGAGACGGATTAAGACAAGCGGAACATCTAAAATAGTAGAGGAGTAGATAGTAATAACTCGTGAATCACAGCAAGCTGAAAAGTACAATTTATGACATGGAAACCAGCTGTTCTGGATCCTTCAGCGCGTAAATCAAATAAGTAAATCTACTCAAATTAAGCACTACGGACCTTCAGCAGAGTTTCCTCTGTCCTCGTACTGCCCATAAAATGTTGTAGGTATATAACCACTCAAATTATGCGCATAGATTACATGAAATAGGGTGCACACACAGCAATCAGCGTGATTGCCTTATCCTTGCTGCTTGTCGTGTGTTTAGTGGTGATCTGAGACATTAAGACCTTCAGGAACGAAAGGATATGATACTTGCCAAGCAGTTTCGAGGATGAATCATTCTTTCTCTTCATTGCATTAACCTGTTTACTTTTTCAGGTGATCGTGTGTTATTTGTAAATTTTTGCTAGAATATTTGTCAGTATATAATTTTACTAATGGCTCATCAGTGTTGTATGCCGAATTATAAAACCAAATGCTTTGGAGTAAAGAACTATTTCTCGAAAAACGACACATAAACGCAATTTTAACATCAAACAATTCTTCAGTTTTATCAGTTACGAATTTTATTCCAAGTAAAAGATGCTTTGCTTATTGTTTCCATTTCTACAGAGATTTAATTACAAGAGAAATATTCTTTACGAATATAAACGAATTCTGGCATGTCAGCATCAAATGGATTGTTTGTGAAAGCTCGATTTGATTTGTGTCATCAGATGCCAGATAGTGCATTAACTGTGACTGCACAAAGCATTCCACAAAGAAAAATATATTAATACATTCAAGCATATTGGGAGTAGTTCCAATTAAATGCGTAGTTGATAAAATAGCATATGTAACAAATTTAGCAACCTCTTTTAATTACAATATATTTTAAATTATACGGAAATATATCGATTCATGAAGATGAAATTTTAACACACATAATTTATCATTGTATACCTTTTTTAAACTTCTACAAGTGTACAAAAGAAGTTAGTGAATTAATTACGTAATGTATCGATTATATTAAAAAAAATAAAACGAATATTAAAAATGTCAAAATCAGTATTAAATTCCCGTTTCATTCTTTAAAATTAATATTAATTATTGTGGACTACTCAGAACGAAATTTGATAATCTTGTAATCGTGATTTCTATAATCATATGAAGGATTTTAGGGAAATATCTTTTAAATAATCGAAAATTTAGAAAATATCTAATAAGCTAATAAATCCTTTTTATGTATCTTAAATTGAAGTTTTATTCCTCTCTGTTTTGATATTTTTAGTTTCAAATGTATAATTTATGTATTTAAAAAATTATTTTCATGTAAATTTGCTTTTTTGATCAATACCTTATTACAAATGTCAATTTACGTTTTTATCAATACATTTAGTTATACGAATATTAATTACTTCCACTGTCTAATTTTATATATATTTGTAATAATAAAAGATTTCATCAAAAAACATATTTCAATATGCTACTCTAGTTTACATGAAATATGTTTAGTTACATTTCCTAGCTAATTAGGTAGATATTCATTTGCATATGTTGGAGACACAAAAAATGGTACTTATAATTTTTTCTGTGCGAAGCAATAAGTTTACTTATCAAATGAGAATCATTTGTTGTTCAAGATAAATTATCTGTGTATCATAACCTTTATGCAGAAAGTTAATTAAAATGTCTACTAAAAACCTAAAAGACCTATTTCCTGATAATGAGTATTAATTAAATAGGCAAAATATTAAAGTTATTTTTCAGATGGAAAATTTAATTTTTAGCAGACTTCCCAATTACGATATCGGTTGTCATATGTCTTCACGGTCTTCTTCTCATGAAGATCACAACGCTTGCTTAGAGGAGTCATTGGAACAGGAGTTGCGACTGACATCGGTTGTTATTCCTGCTTCCAATTAAGGAAGAAGGATGATCATGGATAGTTAAAAATTATGGATAGGATCCATGCCTTGTGTCCAGCACAGCCGACGTACAAAGTCGGCTTGCGGATTCCAATGATAAATGTTGACTGCCAAGGCGCCCCTCTGTGAGAGTCATAATACTATGTTACTTGTCCCGCGGTAATTCATGACAGTTTCGATGAAGATTTCTGTGCTTTAACCAGTGTGTCGTCTCTCAGTTTTCTTTAGGTTTTTATTATGATAAATTGAAACTGAGATACGAAAATCAGATTGCTTTAACAACCATGGACAATTGTTCAGCTATGAATAAAATGCTACGCGTCAGCTCTTTCTTCTAGAATGACATCGAATTCATATTTGATAACATGATTTGTGGAGGGGGCATCATGTTCGATCACTAGACACTCCTTGTGCACTTTTCTAAACATTCGCCAGTAGATCAGAGTGTAACGTGAATTGTGGATCCTGCGGTCCTACCGGTGGTCCACAGTAATCCGGCACAATGCTCTGACAAAACAATGCTCTTTCAAACCCCTGCATGGCGATCTCTCATTAACTGGATCGGAATTGAAATGCATCATTAGACGTCACTGGAGAAACCACTATCTAACTTGAAAAATGTATGATCCTCGTTGGATGCCGTTTCATAACAGATATCCTAGATGGTTATTAATCACCTCATTCACACGACACTTCAGAAAGATCTTGAAAATTCAAAAGTCAGCTTTCATACTATCCCTTTCAAGCACAAAGAACAGTTAGCAAAACTTTCATTGTGCTTTATTAAGTGAAATGCAAGAAGTTCGTTCTCTTCAGATTCAAAATTGGTGAATATATTAGAAAATAAATTTACTAACGTAGGTTACTATTCAGTGATTACTTTAGACTGAAAATAAGGATTTCCTAAAGCTTCCATAATTTTTTCCGAAGTCTCAAGTAGCAGTTAAAACAAATGATTATAATGAAAATCCAAATAATGAATGTTGGCTATTAATAAAACAGCATTAGTTAATTATATTAATAAAACAGCATTAACTCTTAGTTGCCACCTAGAAATTATTGACCTTTGATACAGAATGGAATTTTGCACATAAATATACAGGATATTTGTTGTTAACTTATGATGGCGAACTAAATGCACTTCTGATTCGACAGGTTGCTTTTAAATGATCTGTGCTGAAGTCGCAAAACTATCTGTCGCAGTTACAGAAATCGGAAACTAGAAGTACATAGGCTATGATTAAGAGAAAAGCTCTTTTCATGAACATATTTTCATCAGAGTTTAAAGTGAATAAATTAAGATTCCTCCATTTAAAGGTAATGCGACTCAACAATAAATTTCAATAGCTCCTTAGCCATCAAAAGTTGAATTTCTAATTGTATTTTTGAAGATTTTATTGTTTTAAAGTAATTTAAAAATTTCGGCCGGATTAAAACCTTTGATGATCAAGATTATAGCCTGTATAATGAGTCTAGGTAAATTCACACTAATCTAATTGTAGTAAAACATAATAACAGTAAAAAATAACAAGGAGTATATACATAAATTTTCTGTTATTACATCACGATATGCTAACATTCCGTAAAATCAAGAGATGTGCCACTCAATTTCCTGATTTGAATATCATCTATCATCGAATGTTTCGAATTTGAATATCATTCGTGAAATTTTCTATACTTTTTATTTTTAAACTAATTTTTCTGCTTAAAATTCGAGGGCGAAACATTGCCAGTTTTAAGGGGCCAGGTAAAGAATGAATTTATGTGATATAAAAAATGATATATAAAGGAAATGAGTAAATGAAATGACATAATTATTGTCTTCAATATTTTTTTTACTTCTTTTATATTGCTATTCATCCTTAGGACTACGGATAGAAACAACATTTCATATTAATCTATGCAGCTTATAGAATTTCGTCTCCTTTGGTAGTATTAATTAGATCGGAAACTCTAAAGACTAATGCGACTTATCGCTAGATCTTGTAATCTACAACAGAGACTGAGACAGACTACAAAATACCCTTTTATTTAAATAAAAGCTAACACAACGCACAGCTCGTACTTAGAGAACATCCAGCATTTATGGCTTAAATCAAAAGTAATGAAGTTAACTAAGCAAAATGTAAATTAGACCAACGGCTGCACAGACACAGAAACCCGTAAGATCGCTCAGACCTAATTTCGACGAAATACGCTTTCTGGCGAGAATAACGCAACGCCATACTGCACTGCTCTTAAGAGAATCTATTAGCAAACATGGAGTTCAGCAGGCGGAACACGCTCTGATTCCAACCTGTAAAACCTTCCTTTAAATACTTTCTTCTTTCTACCTCATTTGAATATACTCGAACTAGAAATTCGCATTCTGGAAGGAAAATGGAAAACGAGAAAGACAACAAACACAATTAGCATAAAATAACTGGTTAATAAAAGTAAACAAATACTTACAAGTTTAAATGAGGTTTTAGTTAGCAATAGAGACTTGTAAATGATAAATTTTGTAATAAAATAACGAAAAATAACTGTAGATTTTCAGTGTCTATAGTATCTAATCATGACTAGCAACTGGAAGTATGTCACAGGAGAAAAGACATTGAACCCTTCCACTGATTTTATATTTACAGAGGAAGTTCTGTTATTTTTTTCAGCCTTTATTACTTTTGATATAATTTTATCTGAAGATATACTTTGTCAATAGTTTCTAAAACAACTTTATGTCAAAAGGATTTTGCCTACTTATTTGATCTCTCACAGAATAAATCTCTAAGATTTGCTTGTTGTCATTACACTATGACTATTCCACTTTCCTATAAACTTTATGGAAAGAGTGGACGAATAGCGAGGACTAGGATTTTGAAGACTTCGTTCTGAAATAGACTCGCAAAGAGTGCCAGTCAACAGATTTCTACGAATTAGTGACTCTTGTGGCGAAATCTGTTTCTTAAATTCACGGTTTAAGTAAAAATAAGGGAAACTGTAGGCCAAAAATCAAAATTGTCTAACTCTTGCATAAAAATATCAAGAGAAATTTTATAATATATATAATATATTATTAATAAATTTATAATTTATATAAATAAATTATACGTTTAAAACATTTTTTAATTTATTTCCGCTTTCCTCTATATAATACTTAATTAATTCTGTACTTTTTCCAATAGAAATATTGCAGGTGCACAGAGAAAATGACTTAAGTAGCTCAAAGTTAAGTTGCGTGTTTCTTCCAGGCGTTTCTCCCATCACATTTTGGCAAATTACGCGAACCGTACAGAGTACAGTTTAAAGTTAACAAATGGAAGTTGATGCAAATACTCGGCCGTATGAATCGGTTCGGCGTGCAACTAGTCTGGTTGCTTTATTAAAGCCATAGGCGTACGATATTCGCTTTTCGCTAGCAGTTTGCTCATTTGTGGTAGGCGAGAGAATACTTACTTAACAGTGGCCAAAAGGAGGCATGCTATGACTAGTAAGGTGAGGGAGATGGAGTATCCAGCTTGGGAAATAGCTTTGATGACTGGAGTATGAACCTGAAATACACACAGGAATTATTATGATGTACTTCATTAACAGATAGAAGATGTGACATTGTTTTCAGTTTCATAAAATCGATTTTATCTGTATTTTCAGCTATCTTTACTGTCAGGGGCTGTCAGATAACTTATATAATACACAGGCATTTAAAAACTCCTAAGCAACCTGGCTATATTTTCTTATTGGCGATAACTCGATGTCAAATAGAGTATAAGATTAAAACAGGTTTTACGGTTTAAGCCAACTCGACACTACACTTGCAAATTACAATTTCAATTTATGCGCAAGAATATAGTAATTTCCCGAATAGGTGATTTGAAAACACTATACATACTCCTAAATTACTTCTATGCTTAAAGTTACAGAAATTTAGTGCTAGAACCGTTTAAAAATAATGTGTTAATATCAGCAACAAAACTTTGATTAATTACTTATATATACCTAATAAGTAATTTATACACATTTCTATTAATAGTGAATCTGCTGAAAGATGTTACTTAATGACAAATAATAAGTGCATTGGCTAACGAACCATTTGCTTGCATACATAGTGGATGTGTTAGTTTGTCATTCAGTAATAATTTATTAAAAATATTTTCAATGCAAAAATTTTGTATTATTATTTTTATTAAACACCAGTTTAAAAATTTTTGTTGAACTTGATTGCATCCAAAAGCTTTTAAACATGTGATGCGTGTTTAATGATGCTAATTCTGTAATGCCGATATTAAGATGTTAGATAACAATTGGCTAGGTCACAGTACCTCCTAACAGTGGCAAACAGGCATTAAGATAAAACATTCGAAACACAAGAACAAACAAAAAGTTCCTGCAGATATTTATACACCAGAAAGGTGTTCAGCAAATGGGTCCCTGAATTCAAAATTAAAAATCTCGAAAACAAAGCTAGATAAAGGGGAAAAACCGATATATTTATTGCGAAATCTGCAAGATTGTTATACGGAAGTTTGCAAATAATACTTACAAAAGCTGCAAACAGATGGCGCTGTAATCTCAATATGTAATGCGTATAAATAGCACTCCATCATCTGAATTTTCTGGAATTGCTACTTACATGAAATACGGTTCAAAATAACAAATACAGTTCAAAGATAAACAATTTAGAGGGGTCATAGTACCCATCCAGACGAGCAATAATTACCGTAGAACATAAGGTCGCGTTCCACTTTGAGAGGCAGAAAAGAGGAATATTAAAATTCCAAGCTGAACTTACAACAGTGTTGGGAAAGCGAATAAACGAGACCAAAATTTGCGCAATCAGATTTATTATTTATTTAAAAACTCACAGAAAGTCCTCAAAATGCCAACAACTCGCCCTTCCATTTCTGGCGTTTGTACATTTCGCAAACTTCCTGCACTGCTTTTTGAGATAACAAAAAAAAAAAAAAAAAAAAAAGCTTTCTCGCATTCTTCAATCAACACTGGAAAGGGTTGGCATTCACGAAAAGTTTCAAACGATGTTGCCGAAGTAATACTTGAAAGCGATGATGTTGTTTGCCGTTTTCAATGACACCGTCTGCTGTGATTAGCTTTCTCCGGACAACTAAGAACAAAACACTGCTTTTTCGCGGTGCAAATTTGCGTACGGTTAATTCTTGATAGTCTTAGTAGATAATCTCCTTGTTCTTTCTTGATGCGTTTCGACTTTCTTCTTTTATGTCCCTCAGAGTGAAACGCGACCCTATGTTCTATGGTAATTACTGTTCATCAGGATGGGTACTATCACCCCTCTTAGTGTGTAAAACAATTTAGAATCACCCTGTATAAATTTTCTGAAGTTTAGAAAGTAGCAACAAGAATTTCCATGCTCAGAGTTAAAGTAGGGGATTGTGATTAAACATATGTGCCAGCGTACAGCGTCATTAGTTGGCAGCGTTGAAACCGTTATTTCGAAACTTCTATATATAATTTTCTTACAGCTTTCACAATTAATATGCCGCTTGTTGTATTCCTCTATCAATCTTTGTTTTTGAAATTTTTAATTTTGAAATCAGTGATTAAGGTATATGTATACACAGTGTTCTTTGCTGGACACTGTATATATATATATATACCTAAATCACTAGTTACGTTATAGCGAAAACTGTGGAACACATGACAACGTCCAAAATGATTTAGAATATGATAATATTATGTATACTTCTCAAGTTGGCAGTAGAAAGTACCACTCAACAGGCCGACGGTTTAATTTCTTCAGTAAATGCATTAAAGACGCCCTGATTAGCATCCATAAAATCAGCATTAGTCAGCAAATTAGTCAACATATGATGCTTAAATGCTATTCGTAAAATTCAGGCTGTTGATTTAGTTGATAACAGTTTAGCTGGATCAAAGACATTAATATTTAAAGATTCCGTGTGGTTGATATGGAAAACAAACATTAAATTTTAAACAAACTGATACTGATCTATTTCAAATTTCAATTATTAGTACATTATTGTTCAGTATATATATATTAACCCCTTAACTGCCGCGGGCATATATATACGCCTTGCTCAGCCGATGCGTTAACTGCCCCGGGCGTATATATACGCCCTTCCAAACTACTATAATTTGCTTTGCGCTGCTACCCGTAAAATTCTTCGCAAAGCTTTGGAATACAACACCACAATGACCTTGACAATGTATGCGAAGGAGAATACTATTTCAGAGAAGTGTGGGAAGAAATTGGAGAGAAGGGTGTGTCTAAAGCGGTGAAAGTAATGACGGTGTGGTATTGGCTGGTGTTGTTTGAGTAAAACGCATTTTTCTTATTCTGTGTCCTCCGTTTTCGCTTAATTTTTTTAGTAGGTTCCAGGAATAAAGAAAGATATAACGGATGTTTCAAACCCATTTTATCTTTTTTGAATTAATTTTTGATGAACTGCTCGTGCTTCATATTGTTACTGAAACTAACCGTTTTGTAGACAAGTATATGAACCAACATCTTGCAAACGAAAAATCAAGAACAAAATCGTAGCATTCAACCAGTTCAGAAAGAAATATATGTTTTTTTAGGCTACTGATTTCACAAGGTATAACACTGAAACCTGGTATTACACATTACTGTTCTAAAACGAATTGATTGAAACTCCATTTTAGGGAACTTTTTTTATATACTTACATTTATTTTATTATACTTTTACTCAAAGCATTAAATTTTGTGCATTTATTTTTTTCTTTTATTCTTTATTTTGTGAAAGTAAACAGTTTTTATAAAGTAAAACTTGCACTAATTTTCCTCCTAATACATCGCATAACTACGCTTGCCTATGTAAAAAACCGTGGCACTGGGAAATGAAACTTGTACGTTTTCCGCGGCAGTTAAGGGGTTAATGAGCTTCCAGACCTGCTGGCCAGCGACTATTCTGTTGTGAAAGCTCTTCTTGCTGATGATTTGCTATCCTTCTGGAATGCACTGAAACCGTGAAATCAGTCTGGAAACGAATTTACGTTTTAAAATTATTTAGATTACGTGTGTTATACAAAATAATACGATTTTGAAACTAAACAATATTTGTTGCTAATTTGATTCCTAGTTTAAAAAATGTTGGAAAGTTCTAAATTAGGAGTAACAAATATACATTGCTATAATATGTGTATTAAATCTTTCGTGAGTTATTTCAACGGAATTATAAGAATGACTTCCTCCAAAACTGTCAATAGTTTTTAAGAACGGACTCCGCACCGGATATTCGGAGCAGTTAAAACTGCTCCTATTGTTGTCAAGTAGTTGCTCACTAATCGGCCCTCAGAAAAAAATGAAATATCCAAATATGTCAAATTTGCTGAAGAAGGTTTGCAGATTTCTCATAGTGAATATTGGAAAAATTATATCTTCAAAGATTTCAGCAATTTAAAGACTCAGCTAGAATTCAATCAAGCCAATTACCTTATGGCGAAAACGCTAAGTGTTGCTGGAGAGTAGCACAAATTGATCGAATTACAGTGCTCCTTAGATTTCAACAACTTTCAAGCGCTACATTTTCTCATTTCCTAACATGTTAAAAACCACGTCTGTTCCTAGAAAAGGGTCTTTGTTTTTAACGCCTTGAATATTAACGAATGCATGCTTTTAGATTTCTTGTGATACATATTATCGCATCACATCCTATATGTGAATGGATGTGCAGGCTCAATGGCTGAGCACACTTTTAGCTGATGCATGTAGATTTATAGGTATATTTCTATTTCTGCCATTTTTTATTAGTCGGCAGCGGACAGGTCCCAATTTTGCCTAATTTAAAGAACACAACTTGTAGTATACCCCAAACTCCTTTACGAGTTTCCTTTCTATGCATTTCTTGATTTATACTGATAATTTTCGCTCTTGCCTGGTTATTAAATTAAATAACTATTCTCAAATGAAGATACATAACATAATTAAATGCAATATAATTAGCAAAATTTGTATTCTGATTGTTCTATATGATGATTCACTTTTGATTCAATGAGAATTTTTTCCAAACTGTAAAACGAGACTTACAGTGTAACCAGACTCGTCTCTTGGCTGCTGGCTGAGGACACATAAAGTGTAGTTCGTCCAAGTGTTGTTAGTTACAGGATCTCTCCACCAGGTGCCATCTTCTGAGCAGAATTTGCTGGCCAAGGCTGCAAACCAGAATCAGATAAGAAAGTTATTACAACAAAAAGAAAGTTTAACTGCTTAACACATCTCAACATCACTATTGGAAATGAAATTATCAAATTCATGGATGTAAAAAACGAATAAGTAGCAAAGCTATTTAACTAAATGATATCCATACAGCAGCGCCAATTTATTTTGGATAACGCTTGACAAAACATCTACTAAGGTTATTTATCACAACAACAAGAATTAAAGGAATATAAATTGTCTTGCAAATTACCCTTAACACCTCAAAAACCTACCGCTAGATTGCATTGTTGCATCGAGCATCATGCCTAGCTGACTGGATGTTCCTAATTTCCTCTTCGCTCATATATTACGATTTTGTACAGGCAAAAACGGCGATCACAAATACTGAAGAGCTAAACCATTATGACCACCTAATCAGTAACGCGTTACCTTTGACCTGCAAAACAGCTGCAACTCGCCCTGGCAAGGATGTCAGAAAGAAGAAAAGAAAGAAGATTTCATTTCCTTTTGGGAAAGCAGAAGCCATATAAGAGTGCACATGCAGCTTTCAATGGTGTGTTCTACCACAACTAAGGGTCACAGAGTCGCCCATGTGAACGTCTCCTAAAGCATAATACCGCGATCGTCAAGCTGTGTATGATCTGCTCTACAGAGGGGGAGCAACTGTTCGCCTGGAAGACGACGTACCCTGACCCGACAGTCGTCATAATGAATCAAAAATCGCAATTCATCTCAACAGACAACTCTGCTCCACTTCTCCATGGACCAGTCTTGATGTTCCTGAGCCCACTGCAAGCGTATTTGGCAATGACGTTTGGTATAAAGAGGCACACTAGTTGGACGTCTGTCTGCGCCGTCCCATATCCAACAGTGTCATCTAAGCTGTGTGTTTCGAAACACTTGCGCTTGGATCTGCACTCTATTGGACTGTCAGATGAGCCACAGTCTGGCGCCGATTTTCCTGTACCAAGCGGGACAGTCTACGACGTCCTTTTTCTTTGATGACGCGTGGACGTCCATTCCGTTCATCGTCGCGTGGATCCTTGGCATCTGCTGAGAGTTTACCATTTATCCACTTTGCATAAATACTAACAACGACATATCGTACACAACCTACCAGTCGTGCAATTTCGGTGATACTCCTTCCTAGTCTTTAGGTCATTATCTGCCCTCTATCAAATTCGCTTAGATCAATATACTTTGGCATTACTTTCAAAAGTAAGTGCTAGAAGGATTCATTATTTTCTCCAGCAGCAGTTGAATACCATTCGCACTTAATCACGTGCCCTGCATATCATCCAGGTGAGTTCACTGAAATATGTGGGGACGGTCATAATGTTTTGGCTCGTCAATGTAAGTATCTATCACTGAAGAGATGAGAGAGGTAAAGAAGTTTGCATTCGTGCCCAACATATCCGCCACCAAGTAATATCCTTCTATGAAAGATACTAAATTTAGCAGAATATTACCTGTTATAAATGTTCTAACCACCATAATGATTGTTTGATACGTCAGTGACATCTGATTATCAGTCGCAATTTCGTAATTGCGAAGTTTACTGGAAGATTTCCCAGCAAGGATAAGCCACTGTTTATACTGCAACAGCAAAGCGAGCCTTATTTAGAGTTAATAATATCCCTCTTCTTTTTTGGCTAGTTTGATCACCTGATTTATACTATCATCGAAAATATAAGTCATATGGGATGCGTTTCTAAATTTCTCCAACAAATCTTCATAACTCTGGATACGCCTCAATGCACTCTTAAACACACTTAAAACTTATAAGGTATTTCTCCCGCCTTCTTAGCATTCTTTCGTGGTGTAATGGTCAGCACGCTAGGCGCGTATTCGAGGAGCCCGAGTTTCGAGTTGTGGCGAGGGCATTGTTCATTTTTTACGTCTCCTGTTTCCAAGTAACCTAATTGTCTGTACAAACTATTTTTCATTCAATACTACAACGTGCAGAGTAAAGAGTAGAATTTAGAGAAAGACACGCATAATGATAACTGTATTGACGTAAATAATTCAAATTATTCTACTTCCTGTATTACATGTTTCACATTATCTTGCAAAGACAGAATTTGCAGTTACACTTTCTGTAGATGCTCTGTTTTTCATAATATAGTATATTAACTAACTCTGTTTTTCATAATGTAGTATATTGACTTTCATAATGTAGTATATTAACTTAATATAGCATATTACAATCTTTCGTAAAAAGGAAATTTTTAAAATGAACATTGGTAAAGCAGGTAATATCTATACATGTGTTCCAAAATTTTATATTAATATCTATACATGTGTTCCAAAATTTTATATTAATATCTATACATGTGTTCCAAAATTTTAGATTAATATCTATACATGTGTTCCAAAATTTTATATTAATATCTATACGTGTGTTCCAAAATTATACATGTGTCCCGAAATTTACTGTGTTCCATCACGCAGTAAATTTCGGGTAGTTACAACGTCCAAAGGTTTGCATATTCCGCACAAAATTTTCTGCCTAGGATCGGCACGACCGGTGGCAAACGTTTCATTCAGGATTTGCATTGCAGACTGGAAAACTTCCAATTATGCCTCATAAATTTGCCAGATAGTATATATTTTTGCTACGGCAACAGCATTCAGTAAGGGCGGACTTTCTGTTCAAGTCCTGTGTGCTGTCATCTATGATAAATTATATAAAATGTAAAAGGTAACATGCTGAACTTAAAAAGTTTATTTGAAATGGTACGGTTAAAAAAGGGTAAATTTAGGCCTGAATTCTGTTTTGATTAATATTAGTTATTATATTACGATAATACATATACAGATAACAGATAATACTGTAAGGATCTTAAGTTTTACTAACGTTTATTTTATTTTAAATCTTTACTATCACTTCTTATTTCTTACTTCCGACCAGAATTAAAAGCTTTAACTTATTTATGCAAATTTGTCTGTCGAACGCCAAGTACTTAAGTTGTGGCTTTTTGCCAAGCGAGAGAGAGGAAGGAGTTAGTCGAAGCAGGCCGCTTACCTTAGAAGTTTTACTCAGTTGCTGGTTGCCTTCCAGGCCAGAGGTTTAATCCTCTTGATAATTTTTAAACGTATTGTAGTGTTAACAGTTCTCTGTACTACATACGGCTTCCTGTTAATATACGGCCAATCTTCCACGTAGGCCCTTGTTTATTATTCCAAAGTTAAGTTAGAGTTTAGTTAATATTTTTATATTCTTACGTTCAGACCGCAAGTGGTTGGTCTCTGTATTCCGAAGTACGGAAATTATTGTAAAGAGTGAAAAGTAAAGGGTTTCGTATACCCTTCCTGTGTATCTTGTCTACTTCCCACATTTATTGAACATAGCTTTAGTAAGCTCCCTGTTCCGAGTCAGGTCTTTGCATGTTCCCAAAGCAAGTAAGGCGGAACACTGAACCTGATAATACATATACATGAAATTTAGTGGAATCTGTCAAAATGAAAAGAATTGTTGAATTGATAGTTCTATAAAAAGACTGAAAAAGGAAAGGAGAATATAAATATCGTTTCAACAGGGAGGAATTGGAGAAAATATATATAGGGGGGAGGAAGGAGAGTAAAAGCTGTAAATACAGAACGGAGTTACATTTTCATTTGTTTTTAAAATAATCTTATGATTGTTTACAGCTTATTATTGAAGAACACAGAGGACGATTTTAAAATATTTATGAGAAATAAGCAGTTCTGAGCAAAGTATCTTATATATGGTCTCAGGAATGAGAATGATGCTACTACCATTCATTAATGTTAAATGTTTTAAATATGAAATATAGAAAATATATCAGTTAGTTAACCTAATCAATAAATATGAAAGATTTATGAAAATATTTAGTGCCTATAAACTGATGAGGTTTTTAAAAAATACAATTATTATTTGTTAATTGTATCACTCAAATTTACGAAGTTAATTGCATCACATCAAATGGTAAATTAAAAAATTGAACGCATCAAATGGTAACCACTCAATAAAATAGCTATTTGCAAGGCGTGTGGAAGATCAAATTAAAAATCCAATCTTTCGTATAGTACCAGTTCTTGCCATGTTGAGGGAAAGATAAATGCATGGTTCCCTGACATAATGTAACGCAACATTTCCATAATTTTATAAAAGTCCCTTTAAAAATAATTTTATAAATTAGAACGAAGAAAACTGCAATTTTTATTTAAAGACGTGTGACTGCAATAAAGGGCTCTATCCCATTCAAAACCTAACTTTAACGCAGTATTTGTATAACATCCAAAAATACGATAGACCGTAAAATAGTTTAAAGGAGAATAGTTTATATCTCTGAAGAACGTGAAGCAGAAAAGAAAATAATTGACTAGCGCAACTTTTGTCACGCACATGAAAATGGGCCATGGAATAGACCAATGAGATTTATTCCTCGCAACGGCTTACTAAGCCGTATTATACGTTGCACCTATAAAACCATCTAGTCGCAGTTTTGGTTGACTTCAGTATATGGAAGGACCGATGTTTATGGTGTTCGGAAACGATTTGAGCAATGAAGCGGTAGATAGTTCGGCGCATCCTACAAAGCGTTTTCCCCAGCGGCTGAAAAACACCCCAGAGAGGGATAGCGATGTAATTTCGAGTTTAAGAATCTCCGTTTTGTTCAGAGGCATTCAACTGAGCACATCACTATATTCTGCAAAATCTAGAAGGCTCCTCAGAGAAATGGTGTCATACGGTCGTATGAAGATAAACATAACTGTTTATATTATTTATTCATATATGAGCCATTGCTATTTTTTTATAAACTTCAAAGAGTTGTTAACGTGTTTAGATAACAACCAGACAAACACAATCCCGTACTTTCTAGTTGAGAAGGCATAAGCTTCTTTTATATGTTTTTGTTAATATAATAGGACATTTTTCATCTATGGAATATTTTATTTTTTATCTGTAAATTTTAGCAACACTTTGGAATATATATTATTTTACATTGCCAGTGTAATCAATAAAATA